ACAAGTGCTCATCACTCTGCTTCCTGTGCACAAGTGCTCATCACTCTCTGTTTCCTGTGCACAAGCATTTCTCTTTCTGCTTCCTGACGCAGATGCAGCTGCCTCAGGCTCCTGGGCTGTGGCTTCCCCACCATGGTGGACTATGCCTTCAGACTGTGTGCTCAAGTAAACCCCTCCTTTCTTAAGCTGCTTTTGTAAGAGTATTTTGTCATGGCAATGGACAAATTAACTAACATGCTACAAAGGCAGCCTGCAGGCCATCCACATAGAATGTGTGTCCCCTGCTTTCTCCTTAGCTGAGGTTTCTCCTTCCCCAGTGAAGCCTCCTCAAAGCCCATTTCCAGATAGGGCCAGCTCTCCTTGCATGCACTCTCACTGTACTGTAGCCCCTCTTTGTAATGTTTTCCCGCTCAGTCTGGCTATGTGATCACTACCTACTTCCCTCTCCAGTGAGAGGAAAGGCTATGAGTGTCTTTGTTCTCTGCGCTCATTCCAGAATGTAGAACAGGGCCAGGTCTTTAGGACATTCACAGTCAACAGTCACACCATAAATAGGAATCGAGTCAAATAATTATATTCCAGAAGCCAGAGAAATGATAGACGTTTAAAGTAGTCATTCAGAGGTAAAGGTGTGCAAGTGTCAGCTGGCAAGTGTCTAATAACTAGCTCTCAAGGGGCTGGCAGGAACGCATCGATTGACAGCATTGGCAACCTCAGTGCCTTACCATCGCATCTTGGCTAATTTCAAACTACTAACGTGCTGTCAACAAGTCTGGGAAATTGCTGAAAACTCAACTGAGTCAGGGGGTGCTGGTGGCTGCCTGCCGCTGTTTTCAGAGTTGACAGCTGAAACTGTGAAAGTAAAGGTGATATTAACTAGGATCCAGAGACAACCGGGAAACCAAACACAGGGAAGGAAAGAACCTTCCAGAGAGGAGAGCTAACAGAGCTGCAGAGGTACTGCTCGGCTCCCAGCACAGCACAGAGGTGATATGTTTCTCATGAACTCAGCTGTGTATAAATACCACCTCTTGGAAAACAGATCCATTTTCAAGTCAGTGGGACAAACCTCTCAGAGCCCTGTTGCCTGGACCACAGCAGTGATCCTTTAACTGTTTTCTTTTTTCTGCCATTTCTGTTCTGTTCTCCAGTCTACCCTTCACTGATCCTCAAAGGGATTCCCCCTGGGGAGAAACCCTGTTAGCAGCATGTTCCAACCCTCCTGACCCCTTTCCCTTATAGAATAAAATACAAGACTTGGGTACCTGCTGGCCACCACAAACCCCAGAAGCATGAAACTGATATATATTTTTAAATAGGATCTCACTATGTAGTCCAGGCTAGCCTCCAATTCTCAATCCTCCTGCCTCAGCTTTCCAAATTGGTACCATTGTACAATACCTCACTATGCTTTGTTTTAAAAGGCATTATGGTCGGTTTTCCTCTGACTGTTTTTCCTTTCGGCAGTTATCTGATCGCTAAGTGCAGCCCCACAGTAACGAGACGTGGGAGCTTATTGGGGATTGTAACTCTTTGAAGTGATAACAGTTCTCACTGTGGAGATTTAAAATCTCAGTACAAACCACACAGGCTTAATCTGAAGGCAACCGCCAGGACTCGATGTGGAACTTCACCAGCTCCCGAAGATGTCTCTCTCTACAAGTCCTGAGGAGGCCAACGGTCTGTTTCTTGTGAAGTGAGAATCCTGTTTTAACGGCCTCAGCATCGAGGAATGTAGGACACATAAATAAATATTTTTAATTTTTATTTTAAACCTCAGGCCAAAGTCCAAGTCTTTCTGGGACTGTTTTCTGACTTGAATATTCTCAGTTTTCCCATGGTGCATTTGGAACCTAGCCTCTTTGGTGAATAGGGATTTTTATGTTTTTTTTTTTTATTGAGTATAAACATCTTGCACAGTCTTAAGGCTTTAAAAGCACACATAAGGCGTTTGCATTTTGTGTTATTGGTTGGCATCAGTAACTATGGATGCTGTGTGAGCAGAGCTAGTGTAGGTTTCCAGGACACTTCCATCACTTGCTTCCTTCATTTCTTCCTTTCATTCACTAGTTCATGTGTTGCTCCAAGCTCTCATTCATCCCAGTGACAGATGTTAGTGGAAAAGGTGAATGAATAGGATGCAGTTGTATTCAAGCTGGACGTAGAAATCAGGAGCGATAGTAATAACTAGTATTTATTGATAGCTCCTAGGCCAGGCATTAGACACTGTAGTATCTAATTTAACACAACTACTATATGAGATGAGATCTATAACTAGACTTATTAAATTGCATTTAAGTGTCTAAATTGCGTGCGTGCGTGCGTGCGTGCGTGCGTGCGTGTGTGTCTGTGTGTCTGTGGGCGTGTGCACTTGAGGGAAGTGTCTGAAGAGGCCAGAGGTGTCAGATGCCCTGGAGTCACAGGCAGTTGTGAGCTGACATGTGTCCTGGGAACTGAACTTGGGTCCTCTACAAGAGCAACACATGCCGCTCGAAATTGCTGATCCATCTCTCCAGGCCCCCCATTTAACATATTCACTTACATATGAGAGGTTACACGTCTCACTGAAGATCACACAGCCTCTAGGTGTGCCAAGTGCTCATCACAGAGCTGGTCTGTCACGCCTAGAGAAGTGTCTCAGGAGCGCTGGGGAATGATTGTAGTGGAGGCTATGGGGCCTGCCTGGAGGAGGAGATACACTAGACGGGCATCAAAGGATCTGTGTGTGTCCAACTCAGATGAGCGTGTGTACCACACAGTTGGAGGATGTTCTAAGTGGAAGAGAAGGCAGGAGGCATGCCGTTGAGAACATCACGGCACAGAGCAGTGCTTGAGACTGATAGGCTGTCCTTACGTTCTCATGTTGAAATCCTTATTTCCGTAGTGCTATGTGAGGAACTGGGGACATGTTAGGTAATAAGGTAGAGCCTCACCAATGGCATTAACACTTAGGAGAGGGACCTCAGAGCACTCGCTAGCCTCCTCTCTGCTGTATGAGGATGGAATGAACAAGAAGGACCTGATCACTGATCCAGAATGTCTCTCTCTTTTTTTTTTATTTAAGACCTTTATTAACAGGTGCTTGCAGTTTGTTGACTTTTTTTTGAAAAAAAAAATCAAGTTGTAAACTTTATTACAAATTAAAAATGAAGTTCTTAAAAATCTCAACTTGACCAGATATGAAACAATTTAAAAACCATTAAAGGTGTATTGAGAAAAACCAGGCCTTTTTTTTTTCTTAAAAAACACGTTTGTCATTACCAAAAAGAGACATCTTTAGGTAAAAATAATAAAAATCCCATGCTGCATAGATAATGCAGACAGTTCTAATGTTATCTGGTCAACGGGCAAAAAGCAAGCACTTAAGGTCTTCAGCTCCAATCTTTGTTCACTTCTTACTGCTGGAATTTCATATTCACTTCTTCTTGCTGGATGACCAAACCGGATGATGGTAGAGACGGTAAGCCGGCATTTACTCAGCCCCGCCCTGCTCAGCCTCGGGAGCGGACGAATTCTCAGCTGGTGGATCGGCTGCTTTTGTCTCTTTGCCATCTTGTGGTTTAGGGTTCTCTGGGCGTCTGCGTCGGTAATTGAAGTTGCGGCGATAGCGACGTTGAGGTGGCTGCTGACCTTGGGTCTCATCTCCTTGATTTTCTTTGTCCTCTTCACTGCCATCCTCTCTAGGCTGTCTTTGGCGAGGAGGGCCCCTGCGAAATCGTGGTCTGTAACCCCATACATATTCTGTCTCACTGGTCTACCTTGCTCTCCTGCACCCTGGTTGTCAGCACCCTCCAACACTTCTTGCACAGGGAGGTTGGAATACTGTGGTCGACGCGCATAGGGTCTCTGCATGTAGTAAGGTGGGAACCTTCGCCTGCGATAGGTTGGCCAGCGTTGTTGGGCCTGGCCTTCAGGAGCGCTTTCCGATCCCTCGTTCTTTTCACCACTCTCACTCTTCTGGTAATTTTGCTGGTAATTGCGTGGAGGACCCCTACGACGTGGATAGCGTCTATAATGGTTATGGTCTGCTGCGTATTTACTGCCTTGAACTGGAACTCCACCAGGGCCTGTAACATTTTCTGCCTCCGCACCCTTTTCTCCTTCAACATCAAACTCCACAGTCTCTCTATCTCCTACACTGCGAAGGTACTTCCTGGGGTTATTCTTCTTTATGGCAGTCTGGTGTACGAATACATCTTCCTTGGTGTCATTCCTGTTGATGAAACCGTATCCGTTCCTTACATTGAACCATTTTACTGTTCCCAAAACCTTCGTTGCGATGACCTTCTTGTCCCCACCGGCGGGCGCCGCCGATGTGAGGCCGCCCGGGCCGCCACTACCCGCGCCGCTGCCGGTGGAGCGGGGCTTGGTGTCGGAGGCGCTGAGGGCGGTGGCGGGGGTGGCGGGCGGCTGCTGGGTCTTGGCCTCGCTGCTCATGGTTGCGGTGATGGTGACTGGGGCCGGCGGCGACGGCTGCGGCTCCTCCCGGGTGTGATGGTGACTAGGCCGGCTGCGGCGGTGGGGCTCTCAGGGCTCTCTGGGGTCCCAGAATGTCTCTTACATTCACCACTGTTTGCTATAATCTTGTGTGGTCAGAATGGGAACTTAATGTTTTCACTCTGCCTTTTCAGTCTGGCTCAGTCCGGCTTGGTTTTTCAGCCAAGATTAGTTCTATAAGAGAAAGTTCCTCTATTGCTCCTCACTTCCTACCCCTCCTGACCAATAAAACAGGAAGATACTCATCACAAGAATGACGTCATTTGCTCCTTTTTTAGTAATAATAAAAATAAGGTTGAGAGAAAAAACACGCAGCCAACTCTTCACAGGGAGGTATAGGTGATCTCATGCTTTCTTGTCAGGTGAGGAGATTGTGTTTAGAGTTCAGGCTTCTCCCAGGTCACCCTAGTGGTGAGTAGTTGAACCTTGTTTGAGTCCCTTTTTCCTGACTGGATAGCCTTCTGTGACTAACAGTACTGTTTTGAGATTCTGAAGAAACTTGCCTTGTTGAGACGTAAGCTTAAGAAATCCTTTAGTTCAGATCGGCTAGTGTATGTTACTCAAAGGTCAATGACTTCACCTTTTACTAGTCTCACCCGGCCAAACTTTCATTCTTGCCTCTTTTAAGTGAAGATTATTTGTGTGGTGGTTTGAATATACTTGGCCCAGGGAGTGGCACTATTTAAGTGTGACTTTGTTGGAGTAGGTGTGGTATGGTTGGAGGTAGTGTGCCACTGTAGGGGTGGGTTTTAAGACCCTCATCCTAGCTGGCTGGAAGAGAGTCTTCTGTTTGCCTTTGGAACAAGATGTCCTAGCTCCTCCTGAACCATGTCTGCCTGGAAGCGGCCATGCTCCCACCTTGATGATAATGGACTGAACCTCTGAACCTGTAAACTGGCCCCAATTAAATGTTGTCCTTGTAAGAGTTGACTTTGTCATAGTGTCTGTTCATAGCAATAAAACTCTATCTAAGACAATTTTCTTTCCTGTAGAGGAGGATGAGAAAGGGAAGGTTTGTACATGACATATACAGTCCTAAAACGTGTTGTTAGTTCAACTGAACACTCTAGACACAAGTTTGGATAAAGAATTCACTGTTGTTATTCTGCTTTCATCTTTATATCTTTCTGAACCTGAAGGAGAGAGATTACATAAAGTGGGCTACCCAGACTTCCTAGCAGGATGGTAAAATGAACACGCTAGTTTATTTATCTCTCTACTTCCTTAGACTTCGAGGAAGAGGTATATATATTATGCACATGTGTCTCATGGGCATGTATACCTCAGCTCATGGTTGGTGTGTGTTATTTCTGTGTAAGGTTCTGTCTAAGGGGAGATGAAGGTAATTTCATTTGGTCCTCATGATAGCCCTGATAAGAGGTACAATTCTCCTCACTTCATGGCTTAAGAACCATTAATTCATGGAAGTAAGTGGCAGAGTTAGGATGAAGCACAGGTATCCTAATACCCAAGCCTGGCATTCCAGCCACATCTGGTATATTTATCTACAGGGAGTGTGAGGATCCTCAAATTCATTTGGGGGAAAAGATCTGCAGACTGAAGACCCAGTTATAAAGGAATAAGTTCAAGCTTATTCTGTATCCTTCATAGGCTTCTGAAGTGGTTGGCCTCTGGAAGCAAAAAACTGTTTATGATTCAATGTAATCATGAATTCGAGCTCACAAAGGAGACAGGCGTCCTTTCCAAAGGCTGATGGCTATGAGAACGAAGTGGTCTGAGAGTTGAAGGATGTAGTTTCTAGCTTCTGTTATATCCTTGATGAAATCATAACATCCCTGCTCAGAGTTTTCACAGAAATATTTTCTCATGTCATTGTTACCACAGCTTTATGGAGCAGACATCATTTTTACTGTGTGCACAGACAGGTAGTGTCCCCTTTTCAAGGGCCTATTCTGAGTAGGCATCAGAGCCATGATTTAACCAACCAACCAACCAACCAACCACAACCAATCAACTAGCCAACCAAGCACTACCAACCACAACCGATTGACCAACCAACCAACTAACCAACCAATGGACCACAACCAACCAACTAACAAACCAACTACAACCAACCACAACCAACCACAACCAACCACAACCAACCACAACCAACCACAACCAATTGACTGACCAACTAACAAACTAACCAACCAATGGACCACAACCAACCACAGCCAACTACAACAAACCAACCAACCAACCAACCAACCACAACCAATCAACCTTCATCCTCTCTCTTTCTCTCTCTCTCTCTCTCTCTCTCTCTCTCTCTCTCTCTCTCTCTCCCTCTTTCTCTCTCTCTCTCTCTCTCTCTCTCTCTCTCTCTCTCTCTCTCTCTCTTTCTCTCTCCTTTTTTTGAGATGGTCTCATAAGTCACCCTGGCTGCCTTGGAACATTCTGTATAAACAAGGCTCTCACTTAAACTCACAGAGATCTGCCTGTCTCTGACTACCAAGTGCTAGAACTAAAGATGTGGGTCACTATGTCCAGTGTAACCTCAGGTCTTTAAACTCCACTCACAATTCCCTTCCCACAGTGAGAGTTACCCCTACCTTGGGAATTTACACACAAATATTTTCCCTCATAGTAAGCTGCTAGGGACAGCATACCATGACAGGGACTTCCCACAGCACGCAATTTCTCAAACAAAAAGGGAGAGATGCTAAGTTCTGAAGTACAATAAGTCAAAAGTTAAAGTTAGAGCTCCGAGGTCAGCTACATGCATTTTTCTGTGAAGCTCTAATGATAAATGACACGGGCAAAGCTGCCAGGCAGTGGCCAGAAAGAGTCAAGTTAACCCTTAACTCAGCAGTTCTGCTAGCTTTCTGCTTCTGCACATTGCACACAATGACTCTCCTAAGAGTCCCAGTGTTTTGACTTAGTTTTAATAGTATATAAATGTATGCATTTTATACTTGTTTATCCAGGAACTACTCTTAAATGTTGTGCAAAACTTATTTCATAACTTCAATAGTTTTTTTCCTGTCTTTGGGTCCCAATGCTGGCTCTACTACTTTTTCTAATAATTTCTTCAAACTTTCTTTGCAAGTCAAGCATTAATGGAACTACCATTATGTAATTATTAGTGTGCTTCCAAGATGAGAGAGTGCACAGCATGTACCTGGGCCATTAGGACTGTGCTATGCTGTGTCCTATGCCTCAATTTTTAATTGTTTAAGAATCATTACATCAAGGAACATCTAGTTTCACGGAATTCACCAGAGTAGGAGAAAGAAATAGAAAAGTCAGATATAATTGAATAATTATGCACACCAAGGCCAATTGAATAGCAGTCATGCACAAATGAAATCTATATAACTGTTGTTCAGGGCTAAGGTCAGGAGAAATGGGAACAACTGTTGTTTAACAAAGAGCTACTATGGGCTACTGAGATGTCTTCATACTGGCTTATTGCAGGCAGTCCCTTATTTCAGATAGCAGGTCCCCTGGAGGAATGTGTCTCTTGCTTCTCAGGGTCCCAGATGCCATCCTTTTTACAAGGAACTGCTGCAAGCTTCTTAAATGTCTCCATCCTGGCCTGCTGTGGGCAGTCCCTGTTATGGTATGTTGTCCCCAGCAGTAAGCCCTCTTCTGAAACCTGGTGTCCAGGAAATACATCTCATGCTTATTCACTTTTCCAAGTCTTATTCTGTATCATTCACAAGCACTGTCCCATGAATATTCTTTTTTTGGTTCTGTACATTTAAGCTATAGTATCAGGCTAAGCCAATGCTCAGAGTATTCTCATAGTCATCAGGAAGGAAATACCTATTGACTTACTTATTGATTAAACAGATCTATGGAACAATTACTATGCTCCTTGCTGCTACTACCTGGAATGGAGTGGATACAGGGCTGATTGGGAAATGTTTTCTCTCCTTCAAGGACCTTACCATGTTGACTGGTTCCCACTTTCATCATCTGGGAAACATCTAATGAGATGGAGAGAAGACTTACTGTGTTTGGCCTGGTGAGACTGTGCTGCAGTTTGCATTCTTATGACATGGGTTCTTTGATTCACAGATGTCGGTCATACTGCACCCAACTCCTGGTACAAAATTGCGGTAATGTTCTTTACACTCGCAGTGAGACTTTTAGAGATGGAGAGAGAAAACCAAATTGAACCCAAATTAGTCTCATCAGCTGATACTCTTTAATCTGTATGTATATTCTCCACAAAAGCTAACACTAACAAGACCAAATATGGGCTTATACTTGTCAAAGTTTCTAGAAGAAACCATGGTTTTTTCATTTTCACTATTAGAAAACTCATATTCCCTGTATGTAAAATTTAGATGTTTGGTTTTATTATTTCCTGAATCTTAACCCTACACATAATTCCCTTTAGATGACTTATAGGTCAATAGAGGCTGGCATCCAGATGGCAGGCACTATTCCTCTAGAATATGGTTTTCAGCAGAAGAGGAGCCCTGGACAATGTCTAGAGAAACTTAGCATTGTCGGAAGAAGAGTATAGTGATGTTAGAGGTCAGGAATCCTGTGATGCACATAAGCCAGCAAAGAATGATACAATACAAAATATGCACAATACCAAGATTAAAAGTCCTGCTTGGAGATGACACAGTGACTTGCTTCTCTGTGAAAAGCAGAGGCTTCCCACACCTTCAAAGTCTGCCCTGGGGGCCATTTTTAAAGATACAAAGAGTGCTTTAAGTCTTGTTTCCAAGTTCTGTCACTCATGGCCTAACATGGATCTTCTCACAAAGGCCTACATATTGAGAGAGTTTTTTTTTTAAGACTTATTTATTTATTATATATGAATACACTGTAGCTGTCTTCAGACACACCAGAAGAGGGCATCAGATCCCATTACAGATGGTTGTGAGCCATCATGTGGTTGCTGGGATTTGAACTCAGGACCTCTGGAAGTCCAGTCAGTGTTCTTAACCACTGAGCCATCTCTCCAGCCCGAGAGAGTTTTTAATCCCTTGAATTCTTATGTAAACCTGGCTCAGAAATTGATATGGAGAATGTTGTATGATACATTTACTCCTCAGAGGGGAGATACAACAGATGCTCTGCAGAATTCGAGACCATTCCAACTAGGGGAACCCTGAGGGCTTGGGCTACTCACTGAGCTTTTTCTTCATCCTGGGCAGCAATTCCTTATATGGACATGATGTGTAGCTATGGCCACAGCATCCATTAAATACTTGATAGACAAAAGTCTGACATGGGACAGGGCTCTTTCAACTCATCTCCTCAATAAAGTCCTCCAGGCTAGGACAACTTTTTCTTTTCAGTCAAGGTTGTTACATAGTTCAGTGTCTCACCCAGGATACCCTCAGTCCCTACAGCTTGTTGCTGCTGACTTTTGCTCAGTCCCCATCCTTCCGGGCTTCTAGGGTCCCCTTAATCTAAAAAGACATTACCGAGAACAGAGAACCGAAGGCAGACTGCATTCATATGAGTTTGGTTGAACTAATCTAGTCTAATTTTGAATTCTGTCCATATTTTGTCAGTCACCATGTGGGGTAGGGTTAGGAGAGAACACAGAGTGGTTAAGTTTTGACTTTGGGGGGCAGGGAGAGTGTGAGTTTAGAGGGTACATAGGGTAGGGAAGCCCTGTGGTCAAGCCCTGAGCCTGATGAGGACTGCTAGAGAGGACCTGAGCATGTGTGTCAGGAACAGGAAGACCTGAAAGCCACCTGTGCTCAGTGGTCTGGGTTATTTGAGCGCTTTTCCCTATTTCTGGACACACAAGCTCTATGCATTCTTAGCTCACCTGTCCAGGCCCATCGTATTTGCACACTGTAGACTTTGTAGGGCAGTCTCCATAGTTGGTTTGGCAGGGGTCCACTGGCAGACACACTTGACCGTCTCCTTGGTAGCCTTTTTGGCATACACAACTGTGCCGATTTGGTCCCAGGTAGGAACAACTGGCATGAGGGTGGCAGACGTTTTTTAAACATGGGTTGATGGCTTGAGAGACAATGATGCGAGAGAAGTGGTTAGCGTTCACACACACACACACACACACACACACACACAAGAGAGAGAGAGAGAGAGAGAGAGAGAGAGAGAGAGAGAGAGAGAGA